ACTTTGTACAAAAGCTCATATTTTCAATGAAGTGACATATTATGTTATTAAATAACCTCTTCTATAAAAAACGACATTTATATGGTAAAGAGAATATTATTCACATTCATAACATAAATAGAATTACTAAATCAGAAACTTATGTTGCTTGGGTATAGTAGCAAACATTAGGGTGAAGAATCTTCATATGTAGTATTCATTACCATTCCATATAACTGATTTTCAGTTCAAGAGCTGTGAATTTCAAATGACCTCACTTCTTCCTCATTCCTAACAAAGTGCAATTCATAACTAAGTTCTTTTACCAACTCTTTTAACTTTGCCAAACTGTTGCCATTTAAAATTTCCATGAAATCTACCTTTTAAAAACTAATTGAGAGGGCCCAGTGTGTTTTGGTCAAAAAGAGAAAAGGACAGAATTCAGAGCCTGGTGGTTCCTGAATGAACTTGGGAAAGCTGCGTAATCTTTCTGTGCTTCAGTTTCTTCTTCTGTATATAAAATAAATATTCATTGAGAATTCACTCTGGACTAGCCACTGTAAACCTAGAAGAAATAATTCTAAATGGAATTCTGTGATTTTGTGACCATTTAAGAAATTCCAATACTGTTTTTAATATCCATTAATTCTAGCCCTCAGAGTCTGGGATGTGTCAGGTGGTGGCTTACATGTTATCATGAAAGGTTGGGACTATATCCTAGATCACTGACGTTCTGTTCGGTCTGTGGATCAGCAGCACTGCCAGCATCCAGCAACTTGGTAGAAATGCAGAGTCCCAGGCCCCACTCCAGACCTGCAGAATCAGAATCTGCATTTCAACAAGGCCCCCACATGATTCATGGGCATATTAAAGTTTCAGAAGTGTTGGACTAGATGATTGCCCAAATCTACCTAAACTCGTAGGGATGAATGTTCAGCACAGAGCAGAGTCCAGTATTAGACGTCTGCTTTATAGTTGTTTGTACAATCTTGGAAGAGTGAGCTCCCAAATACATGAGTTGACTTTTCTTGTGTCTTAGTTAAATCTTCATCTGTAAACAGGTGGCGAGACAGTAGTTACCTCCAGACAGTGGTTGTTATGAGGATTGTAAAGTACTTTGAATGAGCAATTAATATGGTGGCTGGGACATGAGAAGTTCCTCAATCATTAAACATACATTTCCTGCACACTCCTTATGTATATGTCATATTTGGGCTGGGGGCTAGGAACGCAACAGTAAACAAGACAAAGCCCCTACCTTCATGAAGCTTACATTGCAATGAAAGAAACTGGCGATTAAAAAAATAGACATGTTATAAAAAAAAAAAGTCCCATGGGGATATGCTTGATCAAGTACAGAGAAAGGCAGCAGAAGTGCTATTACAGACAGAAATTCAGCAAATGTTTTCAGAGGAGAAAACAAATGAGTCGATACCTGAATTAGTTATTATTTGATTAGTATCTGCAGCTAAAGTTCCAGTCATAGTGCTAAACATTTTATATGCATTCACGTTTGCAGAATCCTCCAGTTTTGTCCTCCCTCTCATCAGAAAAGTTTAGAGCCTGCTCGAATAAGGATATTCACTGGACAATCAGACATTTAAGGCAAAAGTTTTATGGAAGGATTTTTGTCACTATGGCACAGTTATTGTAACGGTCTCATTTCCTTGCATCAGTGTGGATGCTGAAGACATTATCACTCTTTAATCGGACTGAAACAGCCTCTCCGAACCTATCCAGCCCGCATAGGAGACAATGTGACAGTTCTGTATACCCTGCAATTTAACCTCAGCATCCTGATAGGAAGTAGGACTTTGAGACAGGGCCTTGGCAATGCCCACAGGACTTGTCTTTCCACCCGTGGAAATTAAAAGACTCCATATCTCCTTTTATAGAAATAAATGTGTTTAACCTAAAAGCTCGGCTACATTCCAATTGATACTTTTACCTAAGAATTTCAGTCTGTGGGTTTAGCAGATACTTTTCTACATTTCCCTTTGCTACCCAATAAACAAGCAAACAAATAACTGTGATGTGGTGTTAGTGGCATGAAATAGCTTCTATATTCCAACACAGATGGGTATTTTAATAATGGGAAGATGATCTCACACTTTAAAGTGCTTTGATATAAAAGGTGCCATATAAAAAGGAAGTTATTATTCTTAGTTATAATACCCTAAAAAAAGGATTTTCCATCTAAATAGCTGCTGAAACTTAACTGCAGAATTGCTTATAATGCTACAATCAGTTGAGGCCAAATTCAATAAAAATTCCATCCGGCATTCACACTGAGAAGACCCACATGTGCCTTTAATTTTTTTTTTTTTTAATTTCCTGGGCTTCCGGCCCAGAAATTGGATGGAAATTTTATTTAAACCTGCTCTTGTGTATCAACTTTTGGTAAATATCAGGTTTTCAGTTGATTCACATTATGCTTTACATTTTGGGCTAAAGGAAGCTATAAAATGATGCATATCTCTCTATGTACACATATTTATACACCTTTTACCTGTTCTATGAAACTGTGGCTCACACTAAATGTCCATCATTACTCCTACAAATTTTAGGATCCTTCCCACACCCTCCTGCTGCAACCATAAGATTCAAAATTCCATTAAATCCCTTTCCAGCACTAATCAGCTTTCACCAGCACCGGCAATGTAATCTGAGTTTAGAAATGACTAATTATTTGGAGAGGGCTGGAAAGGGGTTAGGGTTTAGATTTCTGTCTGTCTAATTCAAAGGAGCTTCTCTCCTGTCTTCCTCCCTGTCATTTTGCTGCCTGGGGCCAGCTCCCCCTTCTTGATGAAAATGCTCTTTTCCTTCCCATTAGACAGGGTATATATGTATGTATTAGAGGAAAAATGCATTATGAGACATCAACTTGAAAATATTAAAAGAAGCAGCATGCCTGTGATGGATGTGGGCATGGCAGTAATTGCACCTGCTAGGTGCAAGGCGTGAGCATAATTTGCATGTAAAATTCTCTCAGTTCCTTCTAGAACACACCAGTTCTCCCCAATAAAACATTTTGTCACACTCAAGGGGTTTGCCAACACGTTTGCCAGATTGCAAGCAAAAAGATTATTTACAGTAACCAATAACAACTGAAACGGCCATAAACAACCTTTCTGTACCTGTTCTTTTTTTTTTTCTTTTGCTAAATAGAGAAACCTTAAGGAGTCCAAATTTACTACAATTTAATTCTGATGGGAGAAAGCACATTATTTTTATTTAGAGCAGTGTGCTCTATCTATCCATCCCTATCTCCCCCAACCCCTTTGAAAACATAAATCACCCCAGCCTTTTTTTTTTTTTAATCCAGCTATTACTTTTATAGGGATGAGCAGTTTCCTGATAAAGTGAGGGACAGGGCAAAAGTAGCTAACACCAGAGGAAGTTCCCTAGTGTATTACTGAACTCTGCAGTATGCTCATGGGATAAGAGTTCTGGTGGGCGGGAACACTTGCCAGCTCACACCATTTGATCCATTTCTTTGAGCTAAGTGGAAGTGCAAGGGGCCCTGCATCCTGGCCTCCTGGTAGGGAGCAGAGTTCTCATTGACCTGGATTCTACCTTTTGTCTTTAAACCCCTTGCAAGCAAGAGTTTTTGAGAAGTTCAAATTTCATTCCCCATTGCAGGGGACCACACACTTATTTCTTGGCGGAAATGAGCAAGAGTGAGAAAGGGCAGTCAAAACAGGTCTGGTTTGCCTGGGTTGTTGCCCTTGATGAGTAAATTGTTACTTCATTGCAACTGTAGGAAATCACAGGGAGAGGAAAGGGCAGAAGAGGAGACAGGGCTATAAACTCTTACTTAAGTCTAATTAAACAAACATGACTAGATTTGTTAACATAAAGGGGAAGCAGGACATATTTTAAAACAATGTCAAAGAATTATAAAATGAAAAGTATAAAGTCTCCTCAGCCCCAATTTCAGTCTCACAAGGACTAACAATTGTTAACGGTATTTTGGGACATCCTTCTTGAAATTGTGAACACATAAATATCTACATATACAGATAAAAGCATGTTATAAGCACAAAAACGGTACATGCTGTTCGTATACCAACTTCTTTTTCCTAGCAATACTTCTTGAAGGTCATTTATGCCAATACTAGTAGCTGCACCCCCTCTCTGTAGTTTCTGCATTATAACCCGCTGTATGTGTGCGCTATATTTTAATTGGCCATTCCCCTAATGATGGACAGGTAGGTTGTTTCCAACTGTTTTTCACTTACATGTAAAGTTGCACTGTTTGCACAGGTACTGTAAGCGGAGCCTAGCGGTGCAAAGCAAGAGGCTTGTGTTCAAGTCCAGATTCCCCCACCCAACACGGTATGTATTAATACTTGGGCTAATACAGGTAAGAGCCACTTCACAAGGTCCTTGCAAGAGTATAATTGCAATTATTCTCATAACCGACTCGTTGAAACTGTTGAAGCTAAATCAATTTCCTCATCACTAAATCCGGGAATAATAATAGATCCAGGGTTGCTCTGGGGACTGCATGAACTAATTCGTTTAAATAGCGCAGTCCACTACCTGGTACACAGCGAACCCTCCGTGATTATCCGCGTTCGTATTAAAACTGGCAATCGGTGCGCACTTGTGGGAGCGCCGCTGCGCGAGGCTTTTCCTAGAAGTGGGATTCCTGCCGTTACCCGGTGCTCCCCGGCCCCCGGCGGTGCGACACAAGGCCACCCAGCGGTGACACGCCGGCCGCCGCCCGCCCGGGGCCCCGCGGAGCCCGGACACGCGTGGGCGCACGCGGCGAGCGCAGGGCGGCGCGGGTCCGGCGGGCGCGGAGAGGCGGGCGCGGGCGACGCGAGGCGCGGACCCGTTGGCTGCTTCGTGGCGCTCCCCGCCTCCCTCCCTCCCGCGCCGGAGCCGGAGCCGGAGCCGGAGCCCGATCGGCGGAGGCGCCAGCAGCCGCAGCAGCCTGGCGCGCGGACGGCGGCGGGCGCCGGGAGGCTCGGCCGGGGCGGCGCGGCGGCTCACGCGGGCGCGCACGGCGGCCCCCCGGGCCCGGACGAACGGCGGCGGCGCCGGGTGGCCGGCCGGGCGAGCATCTCTGGAGCTGCAAGGACCAGGTGAGTCGGGGCTGCGCGGCTCCTGGCGCCAGCTGTGGGGCTCAGGGAAGAGCCACCCGCGGGGGCAAACTTTACGCACTGGCTTTCGTGGCTCCTCAGCCCCAAAGTTTGTTTGCCGGGGAAATGCACCCGATGGGTGGAGAATGAAACATGCTTCTCCCGGCTGATTTGCGTTGGGGAGGCTATTTTGCACCTCCTAGGGCGACGATTGCTTTCGGGATGGGAAGACCGCATCCCCAGGCGGAGCGCGCCGGGTAGATGCAAGGTGGGTCCCTCGGGATTGCCCTTAGCGCGGCGGATTTGGCCGGCGAAAGTTGGGGGGGAAAAGTTTTGAATCTTAGGAGTGCTGAGGAATTCCAGGTGTGTACTGTAGCGGGTGGGAATGCGATGCCTTTTTGCGAGACCCCTTCCCCACCTGCCCCCGACCCCCGCAGGAACTCGCAGGTCTGAGCAAGCTAGGATGGAGGATTCTTAGGTGAGCGATCAAGTTTTCCGAGGAGCGTTTTCTTGCTACTCACAAATCTGCAGCCTTGGGCAGAATCCCTTGTCGCGTTTATTTGCTAGGTTTGCCCTGATGGGCTCGGAAACCTGGTGCAGGTTTCTTGAGCCCGGACCCTGGTGCTTGGCTGCTTCTGTGTTCTCTGAGGAGCCCTGCAAAGCTAACCAAGCAGGGAACTGAATGCCAGAAACAGAAAACCCAGGAAGTGCCAGCCGAGCACCCTTAAGTCACGGCATCATCAGGATTTTTTTTTTTTTTTTTTTTGGTCGCGTGAAATGCATGGCTCCTGGGTTCTGTTTGTGCAAAGCGCCGCGCGGCTCCCCAATCCGCGTGTCCTTCCCTGTATTGCTTATTGATTTACACCAAGGAGATGTGCCCAGAGGAATGATCTGATAACAAACGGTGCCCGCCGTAGTGAGGACTGCAAACCTCCCTTTCAGAGCCAAATTAGGAGGAGCAGACAGAGATCTGGGAAAGGGGAAGCCAATCTGTTAACCTCAACCCGAGATGTGGGGAAACAGAGCTGGAGAAAGCAACAGACAGGAGGGTGGAGGGTGTGATCTGCCCGAGGGAGGGAGGTCAGAAACCCCCGCTCACATGGTGAGTAGGTAAATCCAGAAATAATTTAAAAATGATTAAGCAAGAATAACTAAAAAAAAAAAAAAAAAAGTAGGAAGACTGTACAAGCTGTGGTTTCTGTCTACCCCCACAGAGATGAATATCACGCTAGCTGAAAAAGAATCCAGATCTGTAAATAGATTAAAAACAGGAATTAATCAGAACAATGAGTCAGAGCCCTTTAGAGATTGAAAGGAGGAGTAATTGCCTTTGAAAGAGCTGTTATATCTCAATGTGGAAGTCAAACGTTTTACTTTTGCTTTGCTAGCTGTGTTTACCAATAGTAACAGTGACTTTGGCTGCAGTAACCTGGCCTCTTAGGTCATGGTTTTAACCCTCTGTGGGTCACAGGACTAGGGAGGAAGTTGTCTGCGGGTTAATATTCATATCCATTTCTGCAACATCTGTTAGATGCCTAATATGTGCAGGTCACTGATTGCAATGGGACAGATTCCTTTGAATGTTGTACATGAAAGAAATCTGATAGGGTTCAGCCTCACTAGATGGAAAGATGTTTGCTTGCAAATGATAGAGCAGGGTCAGGAATTACTGATCTTTGAATGCTTGCTTGGAATCAGTTGAGAGTCAACATGTGGTTTGAGGACCCCCAAAAGGATCGGCATCTCCCAGCAAATATCGCAAATTGCTGCACACTTTTATTAGACGAATCAGGTGAGGTTGAATGCATTCAAGTGGCCCTCCTGTCTAAAAGTGGGATAACTGAGACACCTAGTTGATATGCAGGGTAATAGATCCAGGCAGTGGCCGCCTCAGACAATAACATTCAGCCACATGTCCTCCTCGCTGTCTGGATGTCATTAATGTCAGCTGGAGACATGAAGGCGTTAATTTCATTTCTCCAGGAGAACTCTTAACTTTTAAATATCCTTCACTGCACAACCAGATAGCCCAAGTGTTCCTTAAAATGGCAACAAAACATTTAATAGGACCAAAGTGCTGAGCAATTTCAAGGGGAGTAAAGATTAGCTGCGGACAAGCTATAGCCTCTCAGTTGCTGATTTATGTTCAATTTTATCACTGTCACATTTCATATATGCCTAGTTATTACAAACTAATAGCTTCTTCGCTCTGCTAGCAAAATATGCATCTTTCTCTTTTATAAGTTCCTAATTCCTTCTCACACATTCAGTACACATCTTCCAGCTTTGTTTTTACTGCGTAATTTAAGTGTCCAACTTGAAGTTCTCATTAACTCTTAATATGTTTTGTGCTGAAATAGTATATAGATATAATTGCCCCTTTCAAACTGCCAGGTCTATATATCACTGTATTGTGGCAGTGCCACAAAACAGAGAAACTATGACAGGTTCAATGTTGTGTGCTTTCCAATCACCATTTAGTAAGTTGTTAGCAGTAAACTAATGTTAATTTTATGCAGTGGGAGATATTCAGATGGCAAGAGAACTTATTGATGTTGTTTGCCTGCCATCTCTGATTTTGTTGTCCCTGCTAGTCCAACTTTAAGCCTTCTTATCTTAGCGTGTTATTTTGTCTCCTTGAAGGTGAGGATCTCTAAGGTGCTCACCCATTTTTTTTTAATTCATACATATGCATGTGATTTGAATATGTGGATATATAATATAGTCACTTAGTGCTGGTAGACTGTTTCCTTTCTTATGCTTGATAATAGTGTTTTTGCAAAGATATTTGGCAATAATGAGAATATTGGGCCACAGAACAATTTAAGATAGAACATTTCTTAGATATTGAGGGGTGACAGATCTTAGTCTTAGATCTAAATTGTACAAACATTTCAGAAATGGATCAAGTGTGTTGAAAGTCTCCTAAACACAGTTGAATATTTCTTTGGAAATCTTGCTACAGTAGATTTGCACTCCCAGGTTGAAACTTTGTGTGCCAAGTTTCAATCCTTAGTACATTTTTATTTTCCCCCTTTTATGTACATGTTATAAACAAGAAATAAGGGTTTGTAAATGGAAGTGCTGGCAAAACTTTATAGCATTTCAAACAGCTTTGCTACTTGGAATGTAAATATTTGTAGAATCTTTACTGTGTAAGAAGCTGCCTTGCAAAGAGTGAGGAAAAATTACTATTTTATTAAGTAGGGTAAAATAATTCAGAAAGCATGCATATTTCTTTTTGCAGACTTATTGGCATTTGAAGAAATATATTATATTAAATGTATGGTATAGCTATTCCATAGCACTCTCTTAGGTGCCTTTAGAACTCAGATTGTAAATTTTCTGTGTTCTATGTTACAGGAGAACAATTTTGTCCTGTTTGTATTCTAAGTGGCTCGACTTTGATTACTTTTCAAATGTTAAGACATGAGATCTATAATTCAAGACCAATCGATTATATTACTGATAAAGGAGCCTATCAATATACTATTTTAATAGGATACAAATTCTCGGGACTATTACAACAAATACTCTTATTATGGGAAACTACTACACCTCGGATCTCGAGTCCTTTTGATTCTAACTCTGAAATATTTCTCAAAGTTGCCACCTTCCTTTCATCTTCACCCACATTCTCCTCTACCAAGTCACCATCTTCTCTCCTGGGACAACTGTATTGGCTTCCCTGTCCCCTTTCTTCCTTCTTCCCCCAAATCATTCTGCACAGCAGCCGGGGCAGTATTTTTTTTTTTTGGGTAAGTTAAATTAGTACGCCCCTCTTCAGAATGCTTAAATGGCTTTCTCTTGCACTTAGAATAAAATCAAAACTATTAAATATTATTTACAAAGCTGTGTAGGATTTAAACGCTACCTGTCCCTTAAGGTCTCCCACCATGCTTTTGGGAACAAGGACTTCACAGGCTCTTTTTCCATTCTGCAGATTGTTGAACTCTTTCTCCTACCTTAGGGATCATTCTGTCCCTTCACCTGGTAGCCCCCCCTTCCAGCCCTCACTCCGAAACACACACACACACACACACACACACACACACACACACACACACACACACACACACACACACACACATACTGAGTTTTTCACTGCTGCTCATCCCTTAGGTCACAGTTGAAATGCCATTAACTTAGGGAGGAGGGCTCTCTGATTTCTCTTCTTCTCTAAATTTGGGCACCTCTGTTAGTCTTTCTCTTTATTTCCTCCATAGCACTCAGTGAAACTTGGAACTCGACATTTCCTTATCTTATTTATTGCCTGTTTACTATTCTGGAAGGACCTTGTAAGCAGCACCGCGCCTCTTTTGCTTACTGTGGCAAAGTAGCTCCTATCACAGTACCCGGTGCCTAGTGAAGTTTGACAAACCCATGGGAACTAAGCTTCCAGGGTGCTGAGTTTACAGCGTGTGGGTGTAGCCTCCGTGTGACCAGAGATCCTGTTGAGAAGGGTCCATATTCCTCAGGAACCTGCAGCTGACTTGCACGGTGTTTTCTGTCACATTACCTGTGATCTCTTAGATTTCTTGGACATCTGCTACTTCAAATTTGTTGTGTCGAAAATGAAATCCATCAACTTTCCTCTGCATCTGGTTCCAGCTTAGGTGATCCCTTCTTTCTTTTTACTCTCATTGTGGTCGTCAAGGCATGTGGCGTCAGTGGTCTTTGGTGCACCATCCTCCGCCTTTGCCCTTGTAACTGGTCAGCTAAGTAGAAGTACAAGAGTGTTCATTCTACGGCTTTCTCCCCACTCTCTTTCTTGTTCCAGTCTATCTGATCCGTGGGTGCTACATCAACCCACAAGTCATCGGATACCCACTGCCTAGAGAACAGAAATGCTACTGATGCAGCTTGTCTGCCTGTGATTTATTTCTTCTCCCTAATTCTCCCCTGGTACTTAACAGTCCAGCTACAAGGGCCTCCTTAAGCTTCCTTGAAAACTCAATGTGACCCTTTTGACTTTAGTGTCCTTATATGTACCTAGGATGCCC